GTTTGAAATTTTGGTTGAAAATCTTGTTTCTTTTTTTTTAGGTCAGAGGTCGCGTAATATTTTTAGCATTAGTTTTTTTTAGCGCTTTTTTCAGTTGAAAAACATTAATTTGGAAATTCTTGCAAAAATCAAATAATTGTCGGATTCTAATGAAACTTTCAGAACTTATTCAAAAATGAATGAAATTATTTTAGAAATGTTTGTCTTTTAGAAAGTCATGGTAATTTTTTTTTAAAAAAAATCTGTTACATCCCCACTTAATTTTATGAAAACTTGAAAATTCGAATATGAGCATCTCTGTAATTTTTTAATTAAATGCAGAAGACTTTGAAGAATATAAACCATCGATTTTTTTGTTAATGGGGGGTTGCTTCTACCAAAAAATTAGTTCTGAATTTTAAAATATAAAACCTAATAAATCTAAGATATTATTTAATTAAGGAAGCTTTTAATAATGGCTTTTAAGGACATTTTTTTTTCTCTGAAACCAAAATACAATATTGTCCGGACCCGAGAGCCAGTTTAAAAGACATGGAAGATTCAGTTAGGATAAATCTGAGTTTGTAGAGTTAATGAAGAGAGAAAGAGCCATGATTGCCTTTGTCCCTTCAGGCAATCATGGCACTTCACTACTTCCTTTCTTTTGTAACTCTAAGTTTTGTATTTTTTCATCTCTCCTAATTCCTGTTCTACCATTTTAAAGAATAGGGAGGCCACTTGCTTCATTCCTCTGTTCCTCCTGCAATCAATAAGTCCAATGAGTTTCATTTTTTCCGAGCCCTCTTTCCTTGTGTGCTAGAAATTTCAATTGTCTTTTTCTTTATTTTAAGTATAAGTGTAACATTTATTTCCGTTTTCCTTACAACATCCTTGTGACGTACATGTTCGGTCAATGGGATTCTCAGCATCCTTCTGTAGAACCACATTTCTCCTGCCTTACATTTCTTTATCTGAAAGCTGTGAATTGTTATGCTAGTCAATGTGGCTGAGGGTTTGAGAGTACTGCTAATCATACTAGATTATGTTCTCAGGTGGGCTCCATGGGTGTTGAACAAACACAAATGTGCCAGAGCAGTTTTCTGCAACAGGGATTGGCTAGCTGTTCTATCAGACAGGTATACTTGGAAAATGAGTTGCATGCTATTTTATATAAATACATACATTTTATATATATATTATATATAAGTGAACATTGAAGTTAACACTCAGAGGTGACAGGCTGTTTCATGCTGGACACAATCGTCAGGCTGCAAATGCTCGCAAATTTTGCATGAAAGAACCTGTCGCCTCATAATGTGTTGACATGAATGTTCATTTTATATTTATATTTACATATGCTCTATTTCTGATATTGAGCACTTTATCCCATAAATATAGCACACCTTAAAACTATTTCTTCTTTATATATATATATATATATATATATATATATATATATTTTTGATACAATATGGTAATCTGCATGGAATTTTCAGGAGGATATATATATCCAAGGAGAGAAATTCTGTCAAAAGACAGGGCAAAATTTTTATTAATTAAAGAATATCAAACACTTAAAATCCCATTGGTAATAATTTTTATTTCATGAGAGCTCTAAAAAAAGCAGCTCTCAATCTTGAAGACCTACAAACAAATCACAAATGAAATGGGGAAAAAATATTCTGGGTTAAAAACAAGAGATATTGCTATCTTATTCAGTGAGTGGGCAAAGACAGAGTGGTGACCTATTTTGATATACTTACCTCAGTATGTCATTTGAGGATGGTGGAAGTGTAGTTTGTTCAGTGTGAATTGGAAACAATTTTTCTGTCTCCGTCAATGGCCAAATTTCAATGATGATATATTTCATTTGACAAATTATTTCTAAATAATATTAAAAGAGTACATTTTTAAAGATTTCAAAATTAGTGAAACAATTTTCATAAGCTTTTTATATAATTAACCAAGAAATTTAAATCAATTTTAAGAAATCGCCAAACCATTTCCCACTGAAAATAGTTAAAGACATTTTGAACATAGAAAAATTCTAATACATTATGGATCAAGGTCTTTTTTAAGACCATTTACCAAATCAAACCTGTCGACTATCACCAAATTATCACAAATAACCTGTTCCTATAAAAGTTCTAATACAAAATTATGTCTCACTTTTTTCCATAATAATTTTCTCTTATTTAAAGTACAAAACAATTATTTGGGGGGCCAATTTAAAAAATTTCCACGAGTGGCTTCAAACTTTTGATCTGTAGTGTATATGTTCAAAGAAGACTCGAGAAGTAACTAATTGTGACTTTTCTTGAAATTAGACAAAATTTGGCATCATAGTTTTATTAAGTACCTATATAAAAAGTGCTTAAACCCCAAAGACATTCATTCTGACAGAGTTGCTACACTTGGCTATGAATCAGTATCACAGTGATGATGATGATGTCATATCTGATGTTGATGTTTTTTTTTTTTTTTGAATAGTCAGGCATCAATTTACCTTGGAAGAAACAATGCAGTTATTAATAAGACAAGATGAAATTAATGCATGCACTATTTAACAACAAATTGCAGCTCCATTTGTGCATATTTTACACATCTATTTTTGTTCATTTTTTTTTCATCTGTCTAGTTTCAGTTTAATGATTTTTTTTTCAGAGAATTTAATTTTCTTAATTAATTTTTCATGATTGTTTAAAAATAATTTTTATATTAATTTTTACACATTCCAACATTTTCTTAGTTTTTCATATATTATTAATATTATTTTTATATTATTACACAAGTACTGTGGAATCAAGGACATAAAGAAGATATTGGTTCCACCAAAAAAAACCTTCTTTGCTTTCATTGATGAAAATTTGGTAATACACAACCACTCTAAATCAAAGTCAAGAAAAAACTGCAGATGGCACCATTCGACAAATACAGTCTATCAGTGTGAAATATTTACAGATGTTTTACTACTTAATGTAAAATTAATGAATATTAATCAAATTAGTTCAATGTTCAGATAACAAAAGAAAATGCTACTGAAAATGAATAATAATTGACAATGCTTCATATAAGAAGGCTAACCAGCAGGAGTCATTCAAATTTAGCCATATAGCTATATTCTCTACTTCTACTTCTTATGGATGGCAGTTGCAATAAAAAGCAAGAGAAATGAAAATGAAAGAAATAATAATCTTACAAGTGGAAGGAAGAGAAAAGAAAATGAAAGTCAATAGAAAGAATATTCTTTGAAATAGAAAGTAACAGAATAAAAGACAATGGAAGGAAAGATAAAAAATGAAAATAAAGATAAAGAGAGAATTAAAAAGAAAAAGAATAATGTGTAGTGGTATGTAGATTAACTAATAATAACTAAGATTGATATGTAGATTAACTAATTAACATATCCAGTATACTCAGGCTATATCATGACTGATGTAAAGGAGGAGAAATGAAGCTTGTACACAAATTACTTTTGCCTCCTGCTACTACTTTCCTTTCAATGTCAATTTTTGTGCAAATCTGTGCAAAAAGTGGATCACAGAGCCTTGATATTTTTCTCACTTCGCATTGTTCACTTGATATTAAAATCATGTTCTTGTCGGAGTTAGCTCATCCTTAATTCCCTAATTGTTCACTAGGGGTCACTCTCCCTACACTATAAATACTGGGTGACTTCTCGCCTTGTTCTCTTTTCTACTTTGCATTTCAGTGGACATATTTAAAAATGTAATCTCTCGTAAAAATCAGCATTTTCGCCTACTTATGGGAAAATGCCATGAAACACACATACATGTACATATGAACATTCACCTAAATACAAACACTTTACGTTCACACACAAACACAAATGTTAATGTCTTTGTCACTTGTAAATTTGTTGTTTAATACATATATTTGTTGACATATATATATATCGGCCTTGTTTGTTTTCTTTACATCTTCAGTTGGACTCAACTTGAGTCCGACATTGTTCTTGTAGTTGGTCCTTCTAGCAGGAATAAACAGCACATGTCTCTAATTCAACAACACTCAAACCCACACTGTCCTCTACATTCTCAACTATGTCCAAATAACATCAACCTGGTTCCTGAGCTGAACAAAAACACAATTCTGCTAAAATCTGTCTATGCCTTTTGGAGCCTGTCGCATGACTAGAAAACTAATAAATTGAATGTATAAGTGAACCTTGCTAGTGAGAAATTACGAATGACTAGCATTTGCTGAACTAGTTCACAATGCTTGTATCAGTGAAGTACAAAGTTAGAATTTTAATTTCTTCGACACAAAATAACTTCATTGTAATTCAAGTTAAAACATTTAACTCAACCACCCACCCACTCACCAACTTCTTCTGGATTTATTTATAACTAAATGAAAACTATTGAATCTTAACTGAATCTACAGAACATTACAAGCAACAGAAACTTAATTACAAACATTATGGAACATTCACTGCTTCAACTTTTCTGAAGCTAAAACTTTATCAACATATTCTCAGCTTTACAGAATTCTTTAAACTGTCACATGGGGAACATTTTGAACGGCAAGTTTCTATGAGCTCAGATAAAAAAATATTTCCTTAGTAAAGACTTTAATTCCAGTCGAAAGTAAGTAACTCATATTAATTATGCTTGTATGTCATTGACATATATGAATATTGTTGTTGTTATAAAAAACAGTTTTTCATGTTTCTCTTGTTTGCTTTTCATTTTCTTTTCTTTTTGTAAAGTAAAAAATGTATGGATTGATTTAAGCTGTCAAGACCTCTACAGTATTTTGATGTTCAGCAGAAATGAAAGGTCACATTAGATAATGCAGGACTTCTATAGGCAGACATAATTAACCTTGTCCAGTGTTATATAGACAGCTGTGGCCAAGGTTAGGGCATCCATATTATATTTGTATTTCGTTGGTACGAGAATAAAGTAATTGAGAATTACTACTACTATTGTCACTGCGGTTATTTTACACACAACATAAAAAGTAAATGTAAAAGGCAAACGAAAAAATGGAAAGAACTAGAAATTTTTTAAAAAACAATGAAAGAAATTTGAAATAGAGTGAAAGAAAATGAATGAATGAACGATAATAGAAAGAATGATAGCAGAGAGAAAGAGAATGAATGAAAATAGAAAGAAAATGAAAAGAAGGAGTAACCTGAAAAGAAAGAGAATAAAAGAAAGAGTAGCTGAAAAGAAAGAAAATGGAATGAAAAAGTAAGCAGAAAAGAAAGAGAATGAAAGAAAATGGAAAGAAAGAGTAAGCAGAAAAGAAAGAGAATGAAAGAAAATGGAAAGAAAGAGTAAGCAGAAAAGAAAGAGAATGAAAGAAAATGGAATGAAAAAGTAAGCAGAAAAGAAAGAGAATAAAAGAAAATGGAAAGAAAGAGTAAGCAGAAAAAAAAGTGAATGAAAGAAAATGGAAAGAAAGAAAATTAAAAGAAGGAATAACCTGAAAAGAAAGAGAATGAAAGAAAGAGTAAGCAGGAAAGAAAGAGTAAGCAGGAAAGAAAAAAAGAATGAAAGAAAAGGAAAGAAAAAAAATGAAAAAAGGAATGGAAAAAAAGAAAAAAATGAAAAGAAAAAATAACCTGAAAAGAAAGAGAAAAAAAATGGAAAAAGTAAGCAAAAAAGAAAGAAAATAAAAGAAAATGGAAAGAAAAAAGCAAAAAGAATGAAAGAAAATGAAAAAAGAAAAAGAAAGAAGAGAACCAGAAAAAAAAGAAAATGAAAGAAAATGGAAAGAAAGAAAAAAAATTAGAATAAAAGAAAATGGAAGAATAAAAAAAAATGGAAAAGAAAGAAATAAGCAGAAAAAAAAGTGAATGAAAGAAAATGGAAAGAAAGAAAATTAAAAGAAGGAATAACCTGAAAAGAAAGAGAATGAAAGAAAGAGTAAGCAGGAAAGAAAGAGTAAGCAGGAAAGAAAGAGAATGAAAGAAAATGGAAAGAAAGAAAATGAAAAGAAGGAATAACCTGAAAAGAAAGAGAATGAAAAAAAAAAAATTTAGAAAATTAAAAAAAAAGAATAAAAGAAAATGGAAAGAAAATCGGTTTTAAAAAAACAGAAAAAATTTTTTTTTGAATAAAAAAGAAAATGGAATGAAATAGTAAGCAGAAAAAAAAAGAAAATAAAAAGAAAATGGAATGAAAGAGAAAAGCAGAAAAGAAAGAGAATAAAAGAAAATGGAATGAAAGAGTAAAATGGAATAAAGAAAGAGAAAAAAAGAAAATGGAAAGAAAGAAAAAGAAAATGAATGAAAGAAAAAAAAAAGAAAAGAAAGAGAAAATGGAAAGAAAAAAGAAAATGAAAGAAAAATAACCTGAAAAAAGAAAGAAAATGGAAAGAAAGAAGTAAGCAGAAAAGAAAGAGAATAAAAGAAAATGGAAAGAAAAATAGTAAGCAGAAAAAAAAAAAAGAATGAAAGAAAATGAAAAAAAGAAAATTAAAAAAAGGAAAAAAAAAAACCTGAAAAAAAAAGAAAGAAAAAAAGTAAGCAGGAAAGAAAAAGAAAGGAAAAAGAAAAAAAGAAGAAAAAAGAAAATTTAAAGAAAGAAAATGAAAAAAAGGAAAAACCTTTAAGAAAGAAAAAAAAAAAGAAAGAGTAAGCAGAAAAGAAAGAGAATAAAAGAAAATGGAAAAAAAGTGAGTAAGCACGAAAGAAAAGAGAATAAAAAGAAAATGGAAAAAAAGAAATAAAAGCAATAAAAAAAAGAATAAAAGAAAATGGAAAGAAAAAAGTAAGCAGAAAAGAAAGAATTTTAAAATTGAAAAAAAAGTGGATGAAAAGAAAATGGAAAGAAAACAAGCATTTAGCAGAAAAGAAAGAGAATGAAAGAAAAAAAAAAGGAAAGAAAGAAAAAAGGAATGAAAAATAAAATTAAATAAAAAAAAGTAAAAAAGGAAATTGCAAAAAGAAAATGGAAAGAAAATTTTTTCTGAAAAAAAGAAATCCAGAATAAAGAAAGAAAATGGAATAAAAATGAAATTTTCAAAAAAGAAAAAGAAAGAAATGAAATTAAAATGGAAAAATTAAAGAAACAAAAAATTTCTTTAAAAAAAATGAAAAAAAAAAAAGAAAAAAAAGAGAAAAAAAAAAATGGTTCTGAAAGAAAGAAAATGGAAATATTAAAAAAACAGTAAAAAATTTCCAAAACCTGATGAAAGAAAATGGAAAAAAAGTTTCCAAAAGAAAAGAATAAATGAAAAAAAAAAAAAACCCTGTTTAATTAGAAAAGATCAGAGAAATCAAATGGAAAATGAAAAGAGAAAATGAAAATAAATTAAGTCAAGAAAAAGCTCAAAAAAAACCTGATGTACAATATTAATAAAATAAAAAAGTGAAAAAAATAAAAATTTTAATGAAAGAAAAAGGAAAACAAAATTCGAAAAAAATGGAAAAAAAAAGAAAAAAATTAATTCGTTAAAAAAAAAAGAAAGGAAAAAAAGTTGAATAAAAAGAAAAAATAAAGAAATGGAAAAAAAGAAAAAGCAAAAAAATTTTTGAATTCTTAAAAAATTTGAAAAAAAGAAAGATAGTTTCAAAAATTTTTAAAATGAAAAAAAAAATTTTTTTAATGAATAAAATTTTGAAAAAAATGAAAACCAAATGAAGAAAGAGAATGAAAAAAAAGAAAATGAAAGTAATATAAAAAGGAAAGAAAAAGAAAGAAAAATTCATTGAATTAAAATGGAAAGAAAAAAAAGAAAAAAAACAGAAAAAAATTGAATGAAATTTTATGAAATGAAAATGGAAAGAAAAGAATTCAACAGAAAATTTTAAAAAAAAAAGAAATTGGAAAAAAATAAAATAACAGAAAAAGAAAAAAAAGTTTTAAAGAAAAGAAAGAGAATAAAGAAAATGGAAAATTTAAATTAAAGAAAGGTAAAAAAAGAAAGAAAAAATGAAAGAAAATGGAAAATAAAATGGAAAAAAAGAATCAACCAAATGGTAAATAGAAAGAAAAGAAAAAAAAAAAAAGAATTGAAACTGAGAGTAAGAAATTCAGAAAAGAAAAAAATGAAAGAAAATGGAAAAGAAAAAAAGAAAGAAAATGATGGAAATAAAAGAATTAAATCTTTAAATGAAAAAAAAGAGAACAAAAGAAAATAAGTAGAACAAGAAAATTATAAAGAAAGAATTTACGAAAATGCAAAGAAAGAAAGAAAATTAAAAACAGAATGAAAGAAAATGGATATAGATTTTTATTGAAAAAATTTTCTCAAAAAAAAAAAAAAATTATATATGGAATGGAGAAGAAAAAGAGAGAAACAGGATGAAAGATAATTCAATGAATGAGAAACAGTGAAAAATAAAATGAAAATAAAGAACAAAAAATATAAAGAAAAGAATAAAAAAGAAATAAACATTATTAAAAGTTGCAAAAGGTTTTGACTGAGGGAGACAGATGAAAGGAAACAGTGGGCGCAAAAAGCAACACCTGAAACCGGTGGGTGGTAAAATACAAAAAAATTTAAATTTTCTTTTAATTCTATTTTAACTTTTCATTATAATTTAAATTGCTGAGGGGCGGAGGAGAGACAACAAGGTGGCGGTGAAACCAATTATTTTCTTACTTTTTTTTTTTTTTTTTACAAAATCCATGACAAAAGAGGCGCACATTCTGCAACGGTTATCGGTGCAGAAAATGAATTCAGCCTACAGAGTTCAATTCATGCTCAATGGAAAAGGTATGAATTTGTCTTCCTCCAGTTATGGGTTAAATAGCAGGACAGACTGGACTCTCTTGTCTTGCTGTGACAGACATGAGAAGGAAAAAACTATACAAAATCAGCCTGAAGAGGGATGGGCTCTAGACACACTACTTCTGCAATTGTGGAAATACATAGTGTCCTTACAACCTTAATGGGTTACAGCACCCATGATGTAACGATATGACAAAAATTAAGTCACGTAGACTTAAGGAACATGTATGATGTACAATGAATAAAATAAATACAAGAATTATACTGATTTAGGGACATTCATCTGAAGAATGTTGGTTTAAGAGAAACTTGTTTAAGGAAACTTGTTTAAGGAATACTTGTCTAAGGAGAGAGGACCATTGTGTCTATAGGGATATTTTAATCAAAAAATTAACACTTTATTACTTTATTCAGGTACAAAATACTCAATTTTATTGATATTCACTATATTACAGAATAATATTTAAGAGTTCGAAATTTTATTGTCGATAACTCCAAAACTTTAGGTTTCTTCATAATTTAGTTGCTAATTTGAGTTCAGCATGTACATTTACACGGAATTATGACGATTTGGGAAAATTTTAAGAGATATTTAGCGCAGGTGTTAAAAAGCAAATTTACCAATTAAATTATAAGTAAGTACCAATTCTTAAAAAAAAAAAAATTTTTTACTGTTTTAGTGAATTGTTTTTAGCAAGATGCGGGTCGAATTTTACATTTATTCCCACTCGATATTACTTTTTTTTTTTTCAAGAAATAATATTTTCATGAATTTCTTTTTATTTTATATTACTAAAAAATACTGTACGCTCCCTCCCATCCGAGCAATAAAAAAAAATTATATATATATACAGTGTAACCCGGATATAAGAGAGTTGTCGGGACCGGAGAAGAAGTCTCTTATATCTGGATTTTTATCTATTTTATATACAAATTTGACAGGCTCAAATTTGGGACCAGAGAAAATCTCTCTTATATCCGGGTTTCTCATATATCCGGGTCACACTGTATCACGCAATATCAGAAAGGAGTGGTAAAAAATATCTCAAATAAATATTTTCCCCAAGCTTTTTTTAAAATAAAATAACCTATTCAGTAAAATATTTATTCATTCATGAATAAACCCTGGAAATTTCGTTTGAATCGAATACTTCCCTAATTTTTGGCAAATATCTAAAACAGGGTGATGAATTTTTAAGCTTTCATTGAGGGAAAAATATCCATTTTGGTGGTACCCAAACACGCAGGTACATAATTGGTTAAAGACCCTTAATAATTTTAGATAAATAAAATAGGATAGGATGTGCGGAGGGTGCAATTAATAGCCACACAAAAAGATAAGTTGGAGGGACGAGTTCGAATTTTAGTCGAGTTTATGAGATTCGCTTACTTGTAAAAAAATACACTGGGTTTAAATAGCAAGACAGGTTAGTCTTTAGCTTAGTTTTCATTGGACAATTCTAAATTAAAAAAAAAAACGTTAAAAACCTGCCGACGAGAACCACAGCGTGCGTGCGTTAAAAAAAATAATGTTACATCTAAATTACGCTTAGATATAATATAAAAATAATGTTACATCTAAAATAAATTACGCTTAGAAGCGGTTCACAAATAGTAATAACCTTTCAAATTTATGATCTGTAAAAATAGATTTTTACAGCATTTCCATTTTATAGCATTTCCAGAGATGCTCATATTCAAACTTAATTTTAAAATATTTAAAAACTTTACCACATTTTGTATTTAAAATTAAAAAAAAGAAAACAATTCTTTGGCTTCAGACAAAAAAATGTCCTTAAAGGCCGTTAAAAGCTTCTTTTTTTTTAAAATTAAATAACGTCTCAGTTTTATTGTTTTTTTTTTGTATTTCACAATTCAGAGCTAAAGTTTGGGTAGAAGCAGTCCTTGATTTACAAAAAAAATCGGTGATTAATATTCTACAAAGTTTTCTTCATTTAATTAAAAAAAATTATCACAAAATATACAGTCGATTTTTCGAGTTTTCATAAAATTAAGTAAGGGGTGTGGGTAGCAAATGTAAATAATATTTTTATCATGATTTTCTAAAGAACAAACATTTCTAAAATAAAATAATTTTATTCATTTCTGAATAAGTTCTGAAAGTTTCATTAAAATCCCTCAATTATTTGATTTTTGCAAGAATTTCCAAATTAATGTTTTTCAACTGAAAAAGGCGCTAAAAACTAATGCTAAAAATATTATTACGCGACCGCTGACTTAACTTATATATATATATATATATATATATATAGGCAGCATCTTTTCATTCATACACGTTTCATTAAATAATATAGACAAGTGTTGTCTATTTTTATTTTATGTAAATTTTTTTCATAACGTCTGAATAACATTATCGTTGAACGAAAAAGAAATTCACAATATTGATCCATATTTTTTAATACAATCTAAGCTTTTATGTTGTAATTGACATCTTTGATAATGGCTTATGTAAGAAGCCGAAAGCTTAGATTGGATTAAAAAATATGGATCAATATTGTGAATTTTCTTTCTTCGTTCAACGATAATGTTATTAAACTTATCAGACGTTACGAAAAAAATTTATAAAAATAAATAGACAACACTTGTCTATATTATTTAATGAAACATGTATGAATGAAAATATGTGTATATATTTTCAAGCAAAATATATATATATATATATAGAAATATATATAAAAAATTTAAAAAAAATAAAAATATACTTTGGTCTTTTCTCTTATTAACAACATAAACTTTTTCACGATAAAACTTTGTTTTTAATTAAGTTTGGCCTTTGGGGCATTTTTTTCATCATGCTATGCTGTTTTTGATTGTACATATCTTTAAAAAATAACCATAGAGCCCCCTACATTTTTTTATCGTTATTGTTTGTAAATATTGATAAGAACAGTAAGAAAAACTCTTGTTAAGTTTTTATTTATAAAATATTTTTTTGGTCGCCATATTTGTTGAGAATGTATTTATAAAATAAATGAGCCATCAGAATTCATTTGCTTTTGAAGGATCAAAGTAGCTGTCGTCTCCAAACAACGTCCCTCTCCTTCTTAGGGTTCATTTCGCTCGCCTGAGAAGTCCCCATTTATATCGAAGAACCAAAAACGAAAATATGTAAAAAATGTGTGGAATGATTTTGCAAGCTGTATTTTTTTAGATGTATGAGAAGGCCGGAAGTATGGGGCATCCAGTGGGAATCGAACTCACTATTAATTTAAAGTCGTAAAAAATTGATCTCTAAACAAATGACAAATTTGCTAACCATGACGAATTTAAATATTTCTTTTCTAAGCATAGTTTTTTAGATGTGGCCAAAAGTATGGAGTATAAAAAATAGGATCAATTCACTTCGCAATTGAGTAAATTCTTTTCATCTAAAATTTACATATTTATAGAAATACCCCACTAGCCCCATGTTATGATTTCAGATTTACTAAGAAGAGTAACTTGGTTGAGGCACAGCACCGAAAGTATAGGGCACCCAGTGAGGATCGAACGCATTAAAAGTAAAAAAAAATCTATTAATTACCTAGTGCCCACCGAAATCTCCCATGTCTGAATTTTTTTTTACAACGTTACGATTATTCCGTTTGAATAGGCGCGCAGTTGAGCCTCTTAACCATTTATAATAAAAATTCATTAAAAAAAAAAAAAAATATATTTATTGTATATAAAATAAATATATATGTTTTCAAATTAACAAGAAAAGACTGTAAGAACGTTATCATTACTTACAGGCATCGTTTAACATTTCCTTCATTTTTCTTTTTTTAGATGATACCCAAAAAGAAAATTAAAAATAAAATAAAATACGAAAAAAAGTCAAGAATCGGGGGCCCACAAAACAGGGGATATAATTCACATACGCAAAAATGAAACTAATTTAATTTGCTAATAATACAACAGTAACACTTATGTGCTAACTAAAAATATATTTTTAAATTTAAGTTAATTAAGTTTCTTTAACCCGGATATAAGAGAGATTTTCTCTGGTCCCAAATTAGAGCCTGTGTTAACCTAAACAAAATAGACCAAACCCGGATATAAGAGAAACCCTGAAGACTTCTTCTCCGGTCCCGACAACTCTCTTATATCCGGGTTACACTGTAACTATATTTCTATGATTTGAAGCAGGCAGTAGTTAAGTGATTCAGATTTTGTACGGATGCATGCTGCTATTTCACAAAATAAAAACTAGTGATAAAATTGGAGGCCCAGAAAAAATAGTAGAGATTGATGAAATATTGATTTGATTGGAAAGAAATTTTTCATTTTCTCCAAAGAGGAACTGAAAGAAATTTTGAAGAATTTACTTTCTAGAATTTGTTCCTAATATAGTTTGAGAAGCAGTCAACTAAGGGCATATTAAACAAGATAATTCGATTATTAGTAGTGATTTGTCCGCTTATAATGGGCTAAAAATGATCTGGGGTACATGTACCATGCGTGATACACGCTTAGGCGATCATGTATCTTTCGACTGACTAGGCAGATTTTTCACCGCAGTAGGTTGCCATTTCTTTCTGCGGTAGGCCAGTTGCCATCCAAGTCTGCCAACCCGGTCTGTCCTGCTATTTACCCATATGGGCGCAAATAAAAAGAAAAGGATTAATACCTTTCCAAGGGTATTAAGCAATAAGAAATGTAATGGATTAGACTGGAATTCGAACTCTCCGATTCCTCGCTATCTATTACTCTACCGTATCACGAAGTTATAGTACGCGAAATCATACTTATTATAAAACCTAGGTTGTGTGTATGTGTCTGTTCGTTTATATATTGGATCGGATTTCCTATATTTTTCAACCGATTTCAACAAAACTTCACATGACTACGTAAAATTACCTTGCGGTGGTTCTGACAGCAACCAACAACAACCAACAGCGATCATCCCGGCAACAATCAACTTCGACAATCAACAGCGATGATCCTGCCAGCAACCCACATCATCTTCAACCCCAACAACGATCATCCTTAAAACAAAACCTCGACCATCAATGTTTGCACTAGAACTTCTGCACCTCTACCGTTTCCGACCACCTTTATTTCCTTTTCTTTTCTAGAATAAATCAGCATATATCATATATATCCTCCTTCTGTCGTCTATATTGTTTCACCGTCAGATTTAACGTCTTCAAAAATGTTAGCGGGCCTCTTGTGACCTCGTTTACCCTTGTGATACGGGGCCGCACGGGGTGCCCACTACAAAACAAAGACAGAAACAAATAAAGAAAGAAAAAGAAAAAAGAAAGAAAAAAGAAACAAAGACAGAAAAGAAAAAAAAAGAAAAAAGACAGAAACTAACAGACAGAAAGAAAACAAACGTTAAAGAAACAAAATAAAGAAAGAAAAGACAAAACGAAATCGAAAAACAAAGACAAGAAAGAAATAAAAATCTCTTAAAACAAAGACAATAAACAAAGAAACATATAAATAAATAAAGAAAGAAACAAACAAACAAAGGAAAAAGAAATAAAAACAACCATTCGAATTACGTAATTTTCTATCTGTACCCTCCAAACAACGCTTCACCTTCTGATCGGAGCTAGGGTTCATTTCATTCCTACCACGTCAGACGTCCCCATATATAGCGAAGTACTGAGGGGATGGGATAAGTATTTTTTGTTCCTGGTCCCATGTATGATGATTTTCTAAGCGTAGTTTAGATGTGGCACAAGGCCGAAAGCGTGGAGAACCCAGTGAGGATCGAACTCACTACTATTCAGTCGTAATTGATCTAGCGAGACAAGCTTGCTAATCTATCATTACGTTGGAAGTCGAAGAGCCCATCTGGTGCCATGCATGAGTGGGTTTTCCAACTTTAAACTCGGCTTATTTGCTCGAATAGGCGCGAAGTTAAGTTTGAAGATAAAATGTTGTTGCAACCTTTTTACTTTCGATTTAAAGTTTTTAATATTTAAATAATTTAAAAAAAAAAAAAAAAAACGAAAAAAAAAATGAAAAAAATTCTTTTATATATATTTAATATATATATATATATATATATATATATATATATATATTTAATTTTCATCTATATAAAATAACGTATAAATATAAAAAAATTTTTATATATATTTATATTTAATTTTCACATCTATACAAAGATCACGTATAAATATAAAAAATATTTTTATATATTTTATATTTAATTTTCACATCTATACAAAAGAACGTATAAATATAAAAAATATCTTTATATATATTTAAATTTAATTTTCACATCTATCAAAAAGAACGTAAATAAATATAAAAATATCTTTATATATATTTATATTTAATCCGTTCAAAACTTTATACAAAGAACGTATAAATATAAAAAATATATTTATATATATTTATATTTAATTTTTATATATATAAAATATAAAAATAAATATAAAAAATATATATATATATATTTATATTTATATTTCATATCTATAAAAAACGTATAAATATAAACAATATCTTATATATATTATATTATTTAAATTTTTTACATCTATACAAAAATATATAAATTTTATCTTTATATATAAAAAAAATTTAATTTTCACATCTATACAAAAAATAAATATAAATATAAAAATATCTTTATATATATATATATTTAAAATTTTTCTATACAAAAGAATATAAATATAAAATATTTATATATATTTATATTTATATTTAATCTAAACAAAAATATATAAATAAATATAAAAATATATTTTATATATATTTATATTTCAATAATTTTCAATCTATACAAAAAACGTATAAATATAAAAATATATAAATATATATATAGATTTTAATTTTCATTCTATACAAATAACGTATAAATATAAAATATCTTTATATATATTTATATTTAATTTCAAATCTATTTGAACGTATAAATATAAAAATATCTTTATATATATAATATAAAAAAAATAAAAATTTTTTCTTTTATATAAATATAAAAAATATCTTTTGTTATATTTTATATTTAATTTAAAATATAAAAGAAAATATAAATATAAAAATAAATTTATATATATTTAACGAAAAATAAATCTATATAAAAACGTAAAATATAAAAATATCTTTATATATATTTATATTTAATTTTCACAAAAATATGAATATATAAATAAAAAAATTATAAAATATAAAAATATTTAAAAATATATTTCTATAAAAGAACGTATAAATATAAAAAATATTTTATATATATATATTTTAAAGATCATGTAATATATAAAGAACGTATAAATAAAAAAAAAATATATTTATATATATTTTATTTAATTTTCACATCTATAAAGAACGTATAAATATAAAAATATCTTTATATATATTTATATTTAATTTTTATATAAATAAAAAAGTTAAAAAATATATTATATATATTTATATTTAATTTTCACATCTATATATATATATAAATATAAAAATATCTTTATATATATTTATATTTAATTTTCTTTGGTATACAAAACGTATAAATATAAAAAATATCTTTATATATATTTATATTTAATTTCACATATATATAAAGAACGTATAAATATAAAAAATATCTTTAAATATATATTTATATTTAATTTTCACATTAATACAAACGAACATTTATAAAAAATATTCTTATAAATATTTATATTTAATTTTTCTATCTATACAAAATAACGTATAAACATAAAAAAATATATATATATATATATATATATATAGGATATATATATATATAAAATAAATTCCAATAACTAAAAAAACTATTCTTTTGTCGTGTGCTCAATACAGAATCACAAAACTGTCAAATGTTTATTTGGTTAAATTTTCGAATAAATAATTTGTAAAAATAACAAATAATTATATATATATATGATACAGTCCTTTTCATTTAACGAATAAAAAACATTTAAACAATTAAAAAATTCAAAATCTTTCCTGAATATTTTATTTTTAAACGTTAATTTCAAGCTAATAGTTTAAATTTAATATTTCAATAATTTTAATATTTCATAAAAATTTAATAATTTAAATCAAAACTTTTTTTCACTAAAATAGCTGATTACATAATTTTAATCATAAAAATGTTTTTTTAATTTATTCAAAATCGTCCAAAATTAAAAAATATAAAATAAACTTTAGTTGAGGAATATTAGCTATTTAAAGAATAATTAGATCAAATTCTCTGCCTCCGGACAAATCCCAAAGATCTATGTCGAAGGGCCTCAAACGTCTCGAAACTATATAAACCCGTTTAATATCAGATATACAAATATTTTTATCATTACCTATATATATATATATATATAAATTCCGCCTATATATATATCTCATATATTATATAGTAGATATCCTGATTTTGGAGATTCATTGTGGAATTAATTATTAGCTCGTTGGCGAATCTTATATGTGTTGTTCTTGTTCTAACCATCATCGTTGAAATAATTGCATCCTTTTTTTTTGGATTATTCTATTCAAGAAACCTATCCGGGAGAAAAATAATATAATAATAAATCTGAGCAAATTTTCGGCTCATTTCAAAACAAAAAAATAAGGTGTTTTATGATTATGGGATGCCATTTCATTTTCTTTTTTTAATGTGTGTTTGTGTGTAAATCAAGTGGGTGTCATGGGATTTCAATTTTACGAATCCTTTCTTTTAACTTCTTTTTTTTAAAAAAAGAATCATTTTCTTTCTTTGCATAATCTTTCTTTTTTTTTTTTTTAATATATTTTCTTTCCTAATTTCTTTTTTTTAAGTTTCGGATCATCCAATTGTCCACAGCAGATTTTTTTAAAAACATTAACATAGGATGTTTTTTTTTTATTCCATTTGCAGGCATAAAGTTTTTTACTATAGGAATAATTTTGTTTTTTTTTTTCCTTCTTTTGTATTTATTTCCTTTGTGTCAATTGTTTCTTTTCTGTTCTTTTATTTATCAAAATAAAATTCCCTTCTTGTTTATTTTCACTTTATTTTTCCTTTTCTCTTTCAATTCTCATTGCAGTGTTGTTTCTTTTTTTCTTTTTTCATAAATGTTTTCTATTTATTTATTATCTTTTTCTTTCGTTTTTTCTTTTTTTTCCTCTCCTTCCTTTCTATATTTTCACCAACCCTTTCTTTTCTTTCTTTCTTTTCTTTCTTTTTTTTTTTATTTTTTTCTGGTAATTTTCGCCTTCCATTCTTTTCAAAACAAAGAAAATCTTTCTTTCTTTTCTCGATTTATCTTTTGAATTTCTTTTTTATTGAATACATTTGAAAGTTTTTTTTAAAATTTTGTTTTCGTCTCTTTTTTTTCATTTTCAGTTTCTTTCTTTTCTTTCTTTTTCTTTCTTTCTTTCATCTTTTATTTTCTTTTCATTCTTTTTTCTTTTTTTTCAATTTTTTTAAAAAGTATTCTCTTTTTTATTTTTTTATTATTCAAATTTTTTTTATCTTTATTTATTTTATTTTTCTTTTCTTTTCTTTTTTTTTTTTTCTTTCTTTCTATTCTTTCATTATTTTTCTTTCATTCCCTGAATTTTTTTTTTCTTTATTTTTTCTTTCTTAAACAGAATTCATTTTGATTTTTTTTCCGAACACATAAACAAGCCTGATTTATTTCTTTTATTTTCTTTCTTTTCATTTCTTTTTTTCTTTCTTTTTTTCTTTATTTTCCTTTTCTTTCTTTTTTCTTTCGTTTTTTTGTCTTTCCATTTTTTTCCTTTTCTTTCACATAAACACTCTTTTTTTTCTTTTCTGTCTTTCTTTTATTTTTTTCTTTTTTTTTTTCTTTCTTTCCCTTTTTCCTTTTTTTCTTACTTTTTTTTCACATTTTTTGTCTTTTGACTTTTTTTGGTTTCTTTCTTTTCCATTTTTCTTTTCTTTTTTCTTTCTTTTCTTTTTTTCTTTCCCTTATTTTCCTTTTCTTTCTGTTTTTTCCTTTTTTTTCCTTTCTGTCTTTCTTTTCTTTCATTCTTTACTTGTCATTTTGATTATTTTTACATAAAACAAGGCTTTTCGTTTTTTTCTTTCTTTCTTTCTTTCTTTCCATTTCTTTCACCCATTTTTTTTTTTCTTTCCTTTTTTTCCTTTTCTTTCTGTTTTTCCTTTCTTTTCTTTCTTGTCTGTCTTTCTTTCTTTCTTTCATTGTCATTTTGATTACTTTTTCCATTCTACACATAAACACAAAGCCACACGTGTTTTCTTTCTTTCTTTTCTTTTCTTTTTTTTCTTTCTTTTATTTCCCTTTTTTTTCTTTTTTTTTTCCTTTCTTTTCTTTCTTTCTGTCCCTCTTTCAGTTTTTTAAAATGTCATTTTGATTACTTTTTTTATAATACATAAACAAGCTTGATTTTAAGATTTTCTTTTCTTTCTTTCTTTATTTCTTTTTTTCTTTATTTTCCATATTTTCCTTTTTTTCCTTTTTTTTTTTAAAAAATACGGTTTTTCTTTTGTCTAGTCTTTCTTTTCTTTCTTTATTGTCATTTTGATTACTTTTTTCCGGTAATAGTTTTTTGATTTTTTTTTCATTTCTTTTCTTTTTTTTTTCTTTCTTTATTTCTTTTTTTCTTTCTTTCTTTCTTTTATTTTTTTTTCTTTCCCTTTTTTCCTTTCTTTTTTTTTCTTTCTGTCTTTCTGTCTTCTTTCTTTTTTTTCTTTTGTGTCATTTTGATTACTTTTTCCGTACACATAAACAAACCCACACGTATATACTTTCTTTCTTTCATCATCTTTTTTCTTTCTTTTTTTTTTTTTTTTCTTTTCCTTTTCTTTCTGTTTTTTCCTTTCTTTTTTTTTTGTCTTTAGAGTTTTGTTTTCCATTTTTACTTTCATTTTGTTTCTTTTTTCTATACTTTCTAAATCTTTCTTTCTTTTTATTTTTCTTTTTTCTTTCTTTTTTTTTTCTTTCTTTCTTTCTTTCTTTGCCAAATATTTTCCTTTTTCTTTCTTTCCTTTCCTTTCCAATTTTTTTTAAAATTCATTATTTTTCTTTTCTTTCTTTCTTTTTTTTTCTTTTTTTTTCTTTTCTTTCTTTCTTTCTTTCTTTCTTTTTTTTAAATTCTTTTTCATTCTTTATTGTTTTTTGATTACTTTTTTTCTTTCTTTCAAGCTTTGAAATGTTTCTTTCTTTGTTTCTTTTTTCATTTTCTTTTTTTCATTTTTTCTTCTTTTCTTTTTCTTTCTTTCCTTAATTTTCTCTTTTGTTTCTGTCTTTTTTTTCATTTCTGTCTGTCTTTCTAACTTTGTCTTTTTTAAATTTGGAAACGTTTTCTTTCTTTCTTTCTTTTCATTTTTACTTTCGCGATTTTCATTTAAACTTTGAACTTTCTTTTCTTTCTTTTCTTTCTTTCTTTACTTGTCATTTTGTTTCTTTTTTTCTCTTTTTTCAAACAAGATATACGTGTTTCTTTTTCTTTTCTTTTCTTTCTTTCTTTTTTTTTTTTCTTTTTTCTGATTGTTTTTTCCCGTTCATGTCTTTCCTTTTCTTTTTGTTTTTCCTTTTTTGTTTCTTTCTGTCTTTCTTTCTTTTTCTTTCTGTCTTTCTTCCCTTATTTTTCACACTTTCTTTCTTTTTTTTTTCTTTTCACAATTATTTTGATTATTAAATTTTCATTTAAAAATCGCCTTTTTCCATCTTTCTTTTCTTTCTTTTCTTTCTTTTCTGTTTCTTTTTTTCTTTCTTTCCTTTTTTTCTTTTTCTTCTGTTTTTTTCTTTTATCTTTCCTATCTACATAAATTTCTTTCTTTCCTGCACTTGGACTTTTACAGTATAAAATATACAAGCGCCTAGTGTTTGTTTCTTTCTTTTCTTTCTTTTACCTTTCTTTCTTTCTTTCTTTCCTTTATTTTCCTTTTCTTTCTGTTTTTTTCCTTTTCTTTTTCTTTCTGTCTGTCTTTCTTTCTTTCTTTACTTGTCATTTTGATTACTAGCACAAAAGGTGAAGAATAAACGTAGGTGACGTGTTTCTTTTCTGAAATACCATTGTTTGGTTTCTCTCTCTCTTTCTCTCTTTCTTTCCTCTCTTTACTGAATTTTTGCAGGTATATATATATAGCATATATGATAATTTATATTTTAAATGTGTTTTTAACAGGATCTTCTGTTGTTGTCCATTACCAAATTTAATGCGACAAAGATTGCTGTCTTTTTAAAGTGGTCCTGTAATCTTTTACAGAAAAATTACACGGACCTTTTTTAAATTTGATGTTTTTTATACATTCATTGCTCATAGGTGAATAATAAATTTTTTGAAAAATTTCCTCAAATTAACAAATACCAAACTATTCACTAAGATCAGGGTTCTTCGTGGTTGAAATATACATCCTCAAATATTTCCAGTGGTTTGCTGTTTGCCTTTGTAAAATATTCGGGCTTTATTGTTTTAAGCTCGATAGATCCTCGTCAATTGAAAGAATGGAAAGTCAGCTTTCCTGTCCCGCGCCAGGAAATTTTTCTCGCCGGAGTCGATCCACCATATAAAATCAACCTTACATATGAGTATTGCTGCCATATATGGTCCGGTGCCCCCTTATTTTGTCTCAAGTTCTTGATAAGATCTCAGAGACGGATATGCAATGTAATTGGCCCTGATCTGGCATCTCGTCTGCAGTCGTTCTCTCTAGATGGATCCGTCGCCTCCCTCTGTCTTTTTTTACAAATACTTTCATGGTAACTGCTCCAATGAGCTGCTTTCGCTGGTTCCCAGACTAGGCTTATGGATGTTCACTGTCGAAACTGTTAATTTAGTGGAGGCGCGAGCAAATTTTCATTCCGAAAATTCGGCGCAAGAGAAAAAAAAAAGTGTTGATACATATTGTATTTATTTTCAGGCCACCTTTGATGCCTGTTCACAATGTCATTTTCAAAGGTTGTTAATTACAGGATTATTGTAGTGTTATATATATATATAGACAAAAGTGTTGTCATAATCTGAAATTGAATTTTATATTTATTTATATAAATATATATAAATATATGGAATAAGGAATTTTCCAGATTGTTCTATGGCTTCCTATATTCTATATTCAGGTAACTAGGTATGTTGTCGACAGATTTTACTAAATCAATGTAAAAATATAAAAAAAAAGGCTTCATTGTCACAGTTCTTTTCCTTTATTTTTTCTACCAAAATTAAATGACAGGTTTTTTAATTTGTATAATTAATTAAATTATAAATTTTTATGTTGTTGTCGGCTTAAAAAAAGTTGATCTTGATAAATACACAAATAAAGATACATTATCGAATGACACCCTAACGCAGCTCAGTATTCTTTTTATTTGTTCCCAAAGAAGATCCTCCTATGTGCCCATCTTTTAGATGCGTCCTTGTCCTTGGACATCCCAATACGACTATGGATACTCAGTATCGCGCTTTCGTCCTCTATCAAAACGTTTCTCAGATATCTAAGCTTTCGCTCTATTTGATTCTAGTGTTTGACCTGCAAAATCATATTTCAGATCTTTCATTACCATTGATATCATTAACTTTGATAATGGGACTCACTAACACAGTATTTATCGGAATATATAAAATGTAATTTCATCAATTATTTACTCTTCTAATAATACTCAAAATACCAAGTTGAGGTTTCTGAATAGGATAAGTGTACTAAGTATGTAGGGATCAAAGATTATATGAGATAAAACGGATAGATAATGATTGACCCTGATTTGAAAGATGTTAAGATTCTATTGTTCAGTTGAAATATCAATGTAGATGTCAATTCAACAATTTAACAGTTCTAAGAAAGAATATGTCTGAGCTGTACACTCTTCTTACAAATAAAATATAAATTCGAAGACGCTGATTCAAACTATGGATATATCATGATGGATCTTGGCAATAAAAGTTTAAATTTTCTTCTTCATGAGTTCATGGAATTTCAACTGTCTCTTTTCGATTCTAAGTAAGCATTTATTTTGGGTTTCAGATTTTGTTTAAAAACTTTTTTAGCCCGGATGTTCCGTCCACGGTTTCCTCAGTGTCCGTCCGCAGAATCATCTGATCTAACTGAAGTCGCCGCTTTCTCAGTAAGAAGATAATCGAGTATGTAATATAATAGTATTCATATAACATAGTAAATCAGCAGGTTTTTTGGTTTAACGAACAATTCCCACATATATTTTTTTTTTCATTTTATATTTAAACCACAGGAATTATAATTAGTTATTCAAATACAACTTTGGATATCTATCACATTTCTGTCGTCTCTTACGACACCAAACAAATATTTAAAATTCAGTACCTTCTTTATTCTGATATATTCAATCTGCTGCTTAAGACACAAGACCCTCCATCTTGTTGGTAATCATGTATGCTCTCTTTTTGGTATTATATTTAGCTATTTGTTCTTGCTTTCTGTATTAATTTGTATGAAATTTCCCTGAGGTTTACATTCGCGTATCACATGTTGCTAATGCATGAATATTTTGGGGTGATTTGTACAACATATCGAATGATAGTAATTATTCATAAATTCATTTAGTATTCGTGTTACTCTAGCTAACAGAATATAATTTTAATACTTATAAACGGGATTATATTTACAAATTACATAAAATTATTTTATTTGAAAATTTATATCAAATTATTAAACAAAACAATCAACTCTAAAAGATCATTAAGCATTATGTGGTATATTTAATATAACTAAATTCTAATTCTACAATGATTGCAGCAAAATCCAGTAGTGATATCTATATCAACTTTTCAGGATTAGTATTTTACTCAAACAGCCAGATTTATATATATATATATATATATATATATATATATATATATATATATATATATATATATATATATATATATATATTTCACTGAACGGTAGAAACATAACCTCTTCAAATATCTATATAGAGGAAAATGTTTTCTAAGATTTACCTCCTTAATTATTCATTTTATCATATACATATATATATATATATATATATATATATATATATATATATATATATATATATTTGTTTGTGTATTTAGGCAGCAATCCATATTTTCATGCTCTTCAAATATATATATAGAGAAAAAATGTTTCGTCAGACGTTTGAAAGAATTTAAACTAACTGGACTCAAGAACAGGAATTTCGAAAACACATTGTCATGGTCACCTATTGCATGGGCGTCAGTAAACCAGCTGTCCACATTCAGTGTCCAAACTGTGGACCCCAATGTTCAACTCTGCTTGGTTTTCGCAGACATCAACGTCAATGTGTCACCAACCCGTGATTTCTTTATCTATCATTTTTCTGATTAGGTGGAAAACATCGTCGTCTTCATTGATGGAATTCATAAAAAGAATATATCCATATCTATCTTTGCAGAGAGAGAGTACTGTTTCTTTTAGTGCGACTAGACATCCAGTGCCTCAGAATCATTACCACTGAGCTATCTCCACTATTATATATATATATATATATATATATATATATATATATATATATAGAGAGAGAGAGAGATAGCTGAGAGAGATAGCTGAAAAGACTCTGTCA